AGAGAAACCAAGGATCATAAGGCATCACAGTCACATAGGATAATGCAGATTAAGAGAACAAGCTGCTTATTTCATAGTGTCATTTAATATAAAGAGGAAATGCAGGAAAGACAACATGCTGTGGAAGATTTTATCCTGCCCCCTCACATTTCTGCAGGGCTCACTGCTGCTTTTCGTAACAGACTGGCAAACAGGACTCAAGATGGTACCTATGACTATTTTCTAAATTAACTGAAATAATCAGGATACAACCCTAGTGCAGTCAAGATGAATAGGAGTCATATTATTAGCTTCAGAAATGCTTGGGACATTGCTTTGAATACCGAGTAAAATAATAGGCCTGTATACAGTAAAAAGAGCAGGAAACATTTACAAATCGGTTGACTTCACTGTAATCTTTCTGTGGCTCTAAAACACCAGTCTCCTGATGGCATAACAAACTGTTCATCTCAGAGCACTACATCATTGAAGTCTGACTGTGACACTTCTAGAAAAGGTAGGAGAACATTAGCCAGCAACCTTTCTCTTAGTTTTGACAATCTCATAACCTGTGCAAGATGTCAGATAGAGAAGAACAGCTATCACAATTGTTTATAGTCACCGTTAGATATTCAAGATATAATGAAACTGTCCAGATCATTGGTTGTAACAAATATGAATTTCAGACCCTTCAACCCAGCCAAGAATCTCTTCTACAGCCTCATTCTGAAAGGATCCACCAGAACCCTCCATCTTTTTTTTTTTTTTTTTTAAGGTAGATACATATGATTTGCAATTCAGCCTGGGACAGTAATTCCCTGTTTATTCAGAATGGACTAATTCCAGAGCAAGGAACATCTGAAATACTTAAGACATCCAGGCACAGGACTGTTTTAAAGTGATTATATTGCTTTGGAACCAACTTGCTATCCTTATGTGGCATTTGTCTGTGCTATGTTGACATACCATCTTGCTCAGAGATTTCTCAGGTTTCTCTAAGGTGCTGCCACTATTTGGTGTAGATGTATCTTTAGTTCTTCTTTCTTTGCTGTTGATAGTGACAGTTGTGTCTCTATTTTTGTTTATTATATGTACTTACTAGTTTGGCAGCTCTATCCTATGATTATATTTTAGTAAACGTTTTAATTTAATTGTTTCTGCTAGTAACAATTCCCACTTCCTTTTCTTGCATGATATGCAAATATTAGGTTGGCTGCTCTGTTCTGGGATTTCCCGTCTGTAATTGTTTCCCTTTCCTTTTCCTATTACAGTTCAAAGAAAGGTACTTTTTGGAAGCTGGTTTTTCTTATCATTAGCATTCAAGCATTGACTTGTTTTTATCTGCTTTAATTGTATGTAGCTTAATAAAACAAACAATCATCATTAAGTGCTACAGATCTTTAAAACATATAGGTATCACTAATGATTCCATGCTTGCGTTTTCAAAATGGTCTGATTTTCTAGAGTCTTCTCTTTGCTGTTTTAAACCAAAAGGCATTGTTTCTTTTTTCTTTAAAAATGAAATGAAATGAAAATTAAAATTTAAAAATGAAATGAAATTTAAATGAAATTTAAAAATGGTAAGTCGTATGTACAAGAAATGTAGGACTAACACTTCTGTTTCACTAATAAAATGTGTTTGTTAAGAAATATTTGTAATAAACATCTGTGTGTGTATGTGCTTGTATAGTCTTCTCTCTGCAAACAGTACCACTTGCTGTTTCAGGAAGGAAAGATCTATTGATGAGCAAGTCTATTGCAGGTCTCCTGCTGCTGAAATGCATATGTAGCCTTTTTTGAATACAACAGGTTTTGTTTAGGTTGCTACTAAGATCTGCTGCAGAATTAGTCTTGCTGTCTGCCGTGGTTAAATACAGCCTCTCTTAGGATCAGAAAACTTGCTGCGTAGCACAAGGAAGTGGCTTTCTGGCAAGTAGCGTTTTCAATGCTTTCATGTCATCCTGGCGTTTTTATTTTCCAGTGCAGCGGTCAGATGACTCAGTAATTAACAGTGGCAGATGTAGCTGCATTTAAAAACACATGCTGTCATTGGCGTTGGCATTAAAAATTGAGTATGTGACAGACCAGATTGGCTTACTGAAAATATAGGAAAACCTCCCACAGAAGCAATACGATCTGTCAGGATGTTGAAATATTCCCCTTTTGGGGAAATTTTGCTCATCTAATAGGCATACCAGTTATTTTGTCTTTCTAATTGCAATAAATGTATTTAATCAGTAAGTTTAATTATGATAATATTGTTTCTCTGTTATAACTTCTATTACATTGCAGCATGCCACCTGAAATGTGAGACTGCATTCAATGAACCCATAATGTAATTTCTACAATATTAAAACTAGAATTGAATGTCCTTGTTCTGCTCTAAAGGCAGATGCTATACTTCTGCTAACTCCTAAAAGGTTTTAGCAAAGCAAAACTGAAATGGATTCAGGTCCAGCCATTTGTGGTGTTTTGATACTGTAATATTCTTCACGCTTTGTTCTAGGAAAAAGCCTTGTAAAGTTAGGACAATAACTAGGACGTCATTAAGTATTGGGATGCTTCCTAATGAAGGTCTCAAACTCATACAAAAACCCTCTCAAAATGTTAGGTGTCAAAAGATTTGGTTATGTTTTAGCCAGAATTTTCAGAATCACTTGAACACGACAAATACTGGTCACTGAAAACCCGCCTCAGTCTGTTTTGAACTAACACGCAGAAGAAGATAATTCACAGCTCCTGTCTCAAACACCATCTTAGATACGTGATCTGTCTGGCAACAAATCTGATCTCCCTTCTCTGAAAGTGCACTTACCTTAGGTAGTAGAGAATACTTATAAAAAAAGAGTACTTGACAACGTACTTTTCACACCCCCTTTCTCACTCTACAACAACATTGCCCTTTTATTATCTCAGCATATGTCTACACTGCTAAAAAGTTCTTTGGGTAGCAGCAATAGAATATGTAACATAGAATAAAGTAAACCATATAAAAGGTTGGTGTTGCCACAACTAAACTGCATCTGGGATTGAGTACTTTTATGTTACTGTGCTTTGCTGACTATAGACATACCCATAGGGTACATAACTTTTAGTTAAATGTTTGTCATTGTCATTGTTGTTATTTATAAATCTATATTGCTTTTCCATTTCCATATGCAAATTGGCCTCCTGGGCTTTATTTGAATTTCCTTGAGAACTCTGGGCTGTAGCTATTCACCATTCCAGTTTATGGGCTTCTTGAAGAAACCTAAGGTTACCTTGTGGCATAAAGATTTGTCTGTATTATTGCTGGGTTTGAATGAGTGCATGTCGTACAAATAATTCTGCCAGTGGTTGCATATCTGTATGTCTTTCAAAAGACAAGTTTAATATTTGCAAGTAAAATACAAGTATAATAACATGATGCATCTCTCAGCTCCCCAGTGCCAGTATTCAAAATTACTCTGCTTATGTTGTCCTTCATGTCCAGATTAACAGTTTTAAAGACCTATTATAGATTCTGGACAATAAAAACAAGAATTAAAACCAAAAAAGCTAAACAAACAAACAAATTCTCACTAAATCTGTCAGAGATGACCACCTTCAGGGAGCCTTATTGTCTTACTGTCTCTGATTCTTTGTTTGGGTTTTTTTTTTGTTCCTATTTGTTGTTCCCCCCCTCCTTAAATGCAGTCATGCCTCAGGCAGACTGAGGGGAGCTCTCCTTTTGATATCCACTGAATGATACAGTTTCCAACCTTCACATCTGAACAAACATCCTCCAGGAAAACCATTATGCAGATTGTGCTAACTGTCGCTTTGATCATGCACACTATTTGCCACAAACAATTATTGAATATAGCCATGCATGGATATTACACTGTGCCCGTTCCTTTGAATTGGATTGAGCAATTGTCTGCAAGTACCAGCTTTAGTTAAGAGTTTCTCATTCCTTCAACTCATCGATATATGCTTTCTCACCAAGGACCAAATTCAACAAAACATTGGTAAGTTTGCTTACTTCTAAGCATACATAAAACCATGTTGCTGTTCAGTGAAGCCTATCAGAATGTCCTTAATGTGAAAAATCAAAACTGTGGGAAAGCTATGCTGAAAAGTTGCAGGAAATACCACTTTAAACTACACGTGCATAGAACTTTTGCTAAATTAGAACAGATCTGATTTAATTTATAAATAGTTGAACATAAATATTGAAAAAATGCTACATAAAAGGGATTTTGTGTTATTCAGAACCCTTTTTTGCTCCCTTCTAAATTAAAAAAGCTGTTGAGGACTGTACACAATGTTAGACAGAAGGCGACACTTCATTTTTATTCTTTTTGTGGTTTACAAGTCAAGAATACTAACTACAGGCCTGTTATATGCTTTTTTCTTTTTTGTCCCCCCTAATTTTGGGGATGAAGTGTTTGGGGTTTTTTGAGGGGGTGTTGGTTATTTTAAGAATTTTTGGAGTGGGGGTTTGGAAGATGTCAGGATTAGTATTTTTAAATGCTTTTTGCATGCAATCTTTGCATCTTGCAGTTGCCTTCTCATCTCTGAGCTGTAACTCTATGAGCAGT